GACAGCGCATATATCACAACTTTTGGGTATAGTACTTACTTTGTCTTCTGAAACTGGTTTTTTGGGGCTTCGCCTAATGCAACGCGATGAAACAACTCCTGCAGCATCAGGACAACACGGCAGTACCGTGGTCCTTCCGGTCGTCGGCGAAACACCCCCAAAAGTATATGGGCGCGCTCGTTCTGCATGCGATCTGTCAATCTTCCAGGTAACATCTCAAAACAAGGCTTGTTTGGAATATAGACTCATTCATTGGAATTTGCCCGTCATCATGGGTGCTAATGTGAGACAAATGTTGGTTGCACTATGTTGCACTTTCTCCACACATGGGATTGCAGCAAACTCACTAGTTTGTCAGAGAGATTCCTGCAAGCTGTATAATTACACAGTATATAGTCAGTTATATATATATATATGTATATTAGAGGCTCCTGAGTGAGAATATCATTCAATGGTTCCTTGTCCATGACTTGACAGGTTTCAGGTGCTTTGTCTCCATCTCAACGATTTGATCGGCGCTATGACTTGGGGTGTTCATTCGGAAGTTGGATTGGTTTATGCTGGATTGCAACAGATTTCAAAAACAATATCCAAACTCCAAACGTTTGGATTCCTTCATGAAACCTTTTCATCACTGGACATGGGAGAGCTGGCCGCAGGGGCTTCTTTTCTCGCTGGCCGCGCGGGCCGAGCTAAGCTGAGGATGTCCCTGCGGCCAGATGCGGATCGCAGACGGACGGGAGACGGAGGGAGACGGAGTGGCCAGCATCATTTGGGCAACGTGGGCAGCTGAGTATACGGCCGTATTGGAACATATATTTGTATACTCAGCTGATGGAACCTATATGTTCAAATAATTTCAAACATATTCAGTTACTGAGGGGCCGTATCCTGATCTGTATCTTGATTTGTTTTTGGGGATTTAGTGGTACGTACCTTCTCAGAAGGTACGACTGGGCCCTCCAAGCCTATATAAATGTGTCTCCAATCCCCTTCTGACAAGAAACCTGGACCTGGATCCCTAAAATATATATACAGCAACTCTTCGGCCTTGCGGAAGAGAACCTGGCTTGGTGGTTGGTTTTTTTAAGGGGGCCAGAAGTAGGCCCTTTATGCTCCGTTTGGGCTTTAGAGTCCAACCTGGCTGGACCCGAGAGCTTTTCAAGGCCTCCAATTGCGGAGAGCTGCTCCAGTCTAAGACGATACAGGAACTGAGACCCGAGCGATTGGAAGACCTACGACCGACCGAAAGACCAAGACCAACGATGTCAACGGGACATCGACGAGTCGACCGGGCGACAGCCACCTGGGATCCCAAGACAGAGAGTCCTCATGATCCACCAGGTAGAAAAAAAGGCTTGACCCGTTGGTTGAAAGTCAAAAGGCCTTGACCGACTTTCAGGCCGATAGACCCATTTGTTTGCTGGGAATGATAGACCCCACTTTCTTCTTCCCTACCTTCTCGTTCAGATCGAACGACGAACGGGTGAAACGCTCGCCCGAATGCGGCACTCTGACGTGAGCACCGCCGCAGGTCACCATGAACACGCGAATGCACGGGTTCCCCGGAGGGCGGCGGTTCCGTAAGGGTTCCCCGACCGGGACCACGGGTCGTGGCGGCTTTTCGAAAACGGCCCAAGACCCGAAGATAAGATGAAACACTGTAAGTAACACCGTGGAAAAGAGGCTCCTGCCCTAGGGCTCCTACCTCCTGAGCAGATGGTTGGGGTGGGTGGATGCCAGGGGGGTCGAATACCACCGAACCTGAGGAGGGCCGGAACCACCTCGCTTCACTGACCCATGGCTGCGCCATGCCAGAGGCTAGGCTATACAAGATATATAAGATTTGGGTTAGATCATGATGATCATATCAGATCTTTGGTTTGGGTGTCTTATCTAAATTGTTATTGTTGTACTATTTGTGCCGTTGCAAGGTTGCGTTGAAGCATGTTAAAGCTAGATTATGATTATTCATTCTTGAAACCTGGGATTGGGCATGTCCTATTCACTGTAAAAGTCAGGAAGGCCTCCTGACTCGCCTCACTCTGTTGATCACCTCCCCAGCTCACAATCAAGCTAGTCAGCTAGTCCTCAACAAGTACCTGTTGAAGCTCGATTATCGTTGGAGTTTCTAGGCTTCGATTGTGAGGTTTCAGGGCTTCGATCGCTTCCCACACCTCAGACTTTCTCATCGGATGAGCTGGCCGAACCGTCTTTCTTCTCGCTGGCCTATAGCTGACCGGATGAGGAGCGTGTTGCATCCAGGATCCAGCGGAGTCACAGATGGTTATCATCCGTGCGCTTTTTTTGTCATTGTTTTATTGTATTTTTTTCCGCAACTTCATGCAACTTCTTCAATTAGAGCTTTCAAACCTCAGATTCATAGTTGTTGTTGTAGTTCATAGATCGACGTGAAGAACGGTGTCAAAGTTGTACCTCATGAAAGGCTGTCTTTGGGCAGTTCGAGATTGCACCTTCGAGCATCTCGTACCCTGGTGTGCGGGTGGTGGGACTGTTGGGTGTGCGGCTGAGGTACCTGCATGGTGGTTGCGATGACAAGAAGGCACGATGATGGTGCTAGTGGCCTTTGTTTTTATGTGTAAGGATTTGGCTGATGGATTTCGGAGTAGCCAGGCACTCCATGTGCGGAAGATTGACCTACATGATCCTAGTATACTTGATGGTGCCAGGGGTGATTGAGCTACATGATCCTGATCATGTGTGGTGTCAGGGGTGAATGTTGGCATATATATATATATATATTCCAGTCCCATGGATTGTCGATGATCTATGTATGTTCTGAGAATTCACTTTTCAGAGATGTGGATGTTTTGGATGCGAAGCTTCAGCAGATGGGTATACAAGTGTATACAGTCTTTCTGAAACCATCCATGCATGAGACCTATATATCTTTCTGGCTCCCAGACGCGGAGCGCTCATCGACTTACCCAAGGGTTTGAGCCCACGTGGCGGGTCCCACTCGTAGAGACAGGGTCCCAGTCATGTTGTCTTCAATTCGTGGAAACGTGATGGTCATGTGTGAAGCGTGTTGGTGAGGCATCAGCAACAGGACCACGTTTGTCCCAAAATGGATAAATGCTGCTGGCGGTGGAATCAGAAGAGCATGTCACTCAACACCTGGACTTCCAGGTGACCCGGCAAAAGGGGTGTGTTTTGCCACTGAGCAGTGTAGACTCCAAAACTGCCAGTCACGACGGTGGGCACCTCCTTTCAGAGTCAAGACTGAGATCGTGTACCTTCGAGCCGCGTGCTTTGTCCGAAGCGCCACACTGTGTGGGACGAAGAAAAGTTGCCACCTTGCCGTTGAGAGGGATTGACGATTTGTCCTTTCCTTCATGCCCTGTGCTTTCCTTCATCGGGAATGATGCTGAAAAAGCTGTTGCGAAAGAAGCAGACTTCGAAGTCGAGGATTTGTCACTTCGTTCATGGCGAGGAGACCCTGCCGAATTACTGGAGCCCGTGAGTCGAGGAAGCCATACAAAGCCAGACGTCACTGGCGCACTTGGAAGAGTAGTGCCACTTAGTCGGACTGCTCAAGGAGAACACTGTTTGGACCTTCGTGATTCAGGATATGACTGGAAGGCCAATCTTGAATCTGAAGTTTTCTTGCGACCAAGGGTGCGAGCCCCTTGAGCCCGACACCTCGTTCCTTCCGGTCCATTTGATGAACCGTGAAGACTGTGAGACTTGTGTACAGTCGAACACAGGCAAGACCGGCAGACCACCGTCCCCAACTTCAGGACTGTAAGCCCTGTAAGCTTGGCATTCGCCAAGGGTTTCTGAGAGCATGCCAAAATATATTGGGCTGGGTGTTTTTTTTATGCTAATGGTTTTTTTTCTTATGCTCACAGCGGGGTTGGTGTGCTTTTGGGGTATGGGTTTCTTTTTTTATGCTTATAGTGCTTTTTTTATGCTAATGGTTTTTTCTGTTATGCTTGCAGTTCTTTCTTTTATGCTCCTGGTTTCTTTTTTTATGCTAATGGTTTCTTTCTTTATGCTAAGGGTTCTTTTTTTTATGCGGCACTGTGGGAAGAGGTCACGTTGGGGGGTCCTAGTGCAGAATGTAATTGTCAGGAGGGTTTAGTGCAGAATGTAATTGTCGGGAGGCTTTAGTACAGAATGTAATTGTCGGGAGGTTTTAGTACAGAAAGTAATTTTCGAGAGGTTTTAGTACAGCAAGTAATTGTCGGGAGGTTTGAGTACAGAAAGTAATTGTCGGGAGGTTTTAGTACAGAAAGTAATTGTCGGGAGGTTTTAGTACAAAACGTAATTGTCGGGGGGCTTTAGTACCGAATGTAATCGTCGGGGAGTTTTAGAACAGAATTAAATGTCGGGGGCCTTTAGTATCGAATGTAAGCGTCGGGGTGTTACCGAATGGACAATTATTCATGAACGAACCGTTCAGTGAAAGGTGATGCATTCGTCAGCAGAAACCGAAAAGTGATGAGTTCCAGTATCAACTGATATCAATTGTTTCAATGAACGGTAGAAATGTGGCCAAATGGGCTCCAGTCAGAAATCAGGGTCGCTTCGTGCGGTGTCTGTGTCGGTCCGTCCGGCATGGGTGGGCAGTGATCAAGCTCCTCTCTCGTTGGATCTCCTCGCTGGAGTTTTTTGGTTTCCGCCAGCAAAGAAGTTTTCATCGGGGAAGAGTTTGCATGTCACCATCCAAGAAAAGACGCGACTTCCACAGAGCCTCTGCTCATGCCACGCGTCAGAATGCTTCCGATCGAAAACAGGGCCGTTCTTCTGCCAGCCGTTGTTCTTCCCGACGCAGAAGGGCTTTGTGGCTGGCATGGAGGGCAGATGGCCATTCCACCATTCCATCAGACAAGGTTTGGTTGTTCTACCGTCTCGCCCTTGCCGCCAAAACTGGAACTGGAGTGTTGGGTGAATTTCTTTGCAATTCCTTGCCTGTGCAGCCGCCGGTCAGAACTCGGCAACGAGATGTTTTTCCCTTGGCCCCGCTTGGTGGTAGCATGCTGAAGCCTGTAGACATGACAAGTGGCAGGTGGAGCGTGCTCCTCCAATTCATCAACGTGGTCATTGGCATTCTGAACTGGTTGCACGGCATAAAGCAGACAGTGCCGACTGGCAAGCACACGTTCGCTCAACAAGCAGTTTTGAAAAACATCGTGGATCGCACAGTGTGGACACTCACACGCCTGCAACATGCGCAAGATGGCTGGGAGCGGTTTGTGCCAGATTTTGTGCCAGGTTTCACTGCAGGTACAACTTCTTTCCAAGACTTGGTTGCTGACAGGGTGGACAACTTGCAAGCGGCTGGCTTATGCGATCCTTTGCCCCACTTGCCAGCCCATGTGCGGGCCAGCTTGGCAACACCTGAAGGAATCCTTGACAACAGCGATGATTCTTTGCGTGTTTTTGAATCTTTCTCCTTAAGGGCCCGAAAGACGAATATGCAAAATTGGTTGTCAAGCAGCTGCGGTGTGGTAAGTTGAGTTTAGCAACTTTTTGCAAGGGTGGTGGTACCACTTTCGCTGTTGGGAAGCCTGGGGGTGAACGCCTTAGGGAGGTATGGCACGGCCGGCGTGTTTCAGAATCAGCTTCTGCACCTCCAAAGCCGAGACACTTGGCTTCCCCAACTGCGTTGACCTTTCTGGAGTGCAGCGATGGAATACCACTACGCCTTAGCAAGCGCGATGCTACGTGTTGGTTTGACCAGTTGAAGCTTCCCAGCTCTCTTCGTCGATACATGGCCAAACCGCCCATCTCCACAGTGGAACTTGTCAATGCTGGAATGTCAGTGGCGGATCAGCGGCAGCACATGGAAGATGGACATGCTTGGCGCGAAGGTTTGCTATATCCTTTGCACTGCGTCTGGCCTATGGGATTTTCTTGGTCTTCTTACATAGTCCAAGAAGAGATGCTGAGTGTTTGTCAAGATGCTGGCATACCAACTTCATCTCTCTTGGCTTGTGATTGCGTGACACCTACATCGTTTGAGCTTGTTGCTGCGGTGGCCACCGATGATGTCATGATTTTCAGCGACGCTGGCCCTGGTGCCACCTGTGAAGCAGCAAGAGCTTTCGATGCAGCTATGGATGCACGATGCGCAGTCCGAAATCTTAAGAAGGACGTTGACGACGCGCTCTGTGGTACCTGTGTTGGGGTTGACTTAGTAGACGGATACTTTCTGGATGTGCCGGGGGGACGCTACTTGGCCATGATTCTGACAAATTGAAGCTTGAGCGCTTTTCCGACATCTTCAGTGTTCGCTCCAAATTTCATGCACACATCAACGTCCTGGAAGGTGAGGCGTTCGTGCTTTTCTTGAAGTGGCTTCTGCGGTCCACCAAGCACCACTCGACAAGAGTTGTTGTTCTGCTTGACTCTGCAGTTTTCTGGGCGCGGCCGCGAAAGGGAGGTCATCTTCACAGTTGAACAGGCTGTTGCGGAAGGTCGCTTCTCTGGCGATGGCTGGAAATCTTCAGCTGCATTTTATCTTTGTCCCCTCCAGCGAAAATCCAGCGGATTTCCCTTCGCGTGGCAAGAAGAGGCGAGCGCGAAAGTGAAGCAGCTCTAGGCTGCACGGAGTTTTTCGGAAGCCCTGCCTTTCTGGCATGATGTGCAAACTTCCGAACTTGCACCCTAGAATTCAATTTTGTCAATTTTGATGGGTGTTCGTGTTGCTGGCGCTCGGCGTCCTACATCCGGGCACGCTGCGGTAGATTCTGCGCGTTCTGGCGCAGAACTGGCTCCGACGGGCAGCTGGAAGATGCTTGGTGCTGATGTTGGGCGCTCGGGCTACTGTGAGTTTGCTCCGCTCACAAAGGCCTCAACGGCGCACTGGTTGATGTGATAATCTGCTCTCTGAGACCCACACACACACAACCGGTGGAATTCTTTTTGGTTTGTCGGCAGTGATTTTCTCTCACAGCCAGTGCCGGTGGTCGGGATTGATGATCATTAATGCTGGACCTGAACAAAGCTGGCAAAGTCA